TATATATAACCCGGAAGAAAGGAAATAAATGATGTATTGGGACATAACGAGCTTACCTCCATGTCCGCGTACCAAGTCCTCAGTCAATGTCTTGTACTGGGTTACCAGTGCCACGTGTTCCTCCGTATTCTCTTCGGCCGTGTCGCTTGCTCGCCCATGCATCTCAAACACAGCCACAGCGCACGTGTGCTGGAACTGCTCCTTGACCAGAGCCTGCGCATTGTTAAGCACGTGGTGGTGGTGTGCCTCCTGCCGCTCGCGGAGATCCAGCTGTTCGGGTGTGGGGGGATTCTTATGGGGTTGGGAAAGTTCGGTACTATCGTTGAGTGCGTTCTCACGGTTGCCATGGCTACTGTCGGCCGCGTGTTTCCGGCTCTTCGTCGTGACATGCTGTGCGTATATGTAGGTAAATGGATCCGGCCGACAGTCGAAAACCGCGGCCAAGATCTGAGCAAACTCCAGCGGCATGTCCTTACCCGTGCGTGTGAGGGGCGTGGGAAACAGCGCCCCCTGGCGTGCCGTGACGCGTCGGCAGTACAGCGCGAAGTCCTCAAACCCTGGGAAGGCCCAGGACGTGTTGGACAGTTGGCTGCAGTACGACTTCTGGTCGTGCAGAGGCGACCCGTCCCCTTCGCCCTGTGCGTGGCTGTGGTCGCTGTGGTGTGCCGCTGGCCCCAGAGGCACGTGGAGTGAGTCCGTGTGCGTATCCAGGTCCAGGGCCACATGCACCTCCATATCATCTGCACCGGCGCCTGCACCTACCATCGCCGGCAATTCGTACCTCCCAGCCCCTGAACCTGCACCTGCACCTGTATCGGAGGTGTGGGACCGTTTGTCCACACCACTCGCGTCGATCATGCCCTCCATCACATCGGCTATGTTGTTGATGAACCCCACGGTTCGGCCGATGAGTGGGTCTATGGCGTGTTGCACTTCAGTGCCCAGAGCGTCTGCGACATCTCCAGTGGCACGTGCGAGGTTGGACATGTTGTTTGACAGCTCACTGGAGAGGATATCTGTAGTAAGGAATAGGGGGGATTGAAATAGTAAGTATTGACAATAGTATGAACGACAGTAGGTATCAACGAATCTACATCGGTGTATATGTGTATTGGTAAGAAACAGTATTGTGTCAGATTGTCTGCAACACGCCTTCATTTAGTAGAGAATTAATGCATTTATATATATATATATATATATATATATATATATTAGAGACTGACTGTATGTAGTAATACT